TGCAATAACTCAGGGCTTTCAAAACGTTCGCCATGTTGCTCCGCTTTTCCCTAGTAATAGTACAAATACAAATTTATTTTATACAAATATACAGAGGTTCTTTTTGCACTATTTAAAACTAATAATAAATCTTATTTAAAACTAATAATAAATTTTAAGATTTTTAATAAAAGGCTACTTCTTTTTTCTTAAACGCATTAAAAAAAAACTTCATATTATTCTATTACTCTAATAAATTATAGCAAATGAGATCGCTTTGTAAAAAGCTAAAGAAAGTGATTAATTTTTTAAATACTTTCCACTTTCCGGAAAACAGAAATAGATTGAATTCAATCTATTTTCACTTCCCGGAAAGTTGGAAACTCATTAAAATTGAACTTTTTTTATGGCAAAAATTGTATAAATAAAACAATTTATTTTTCATTATAAAAACTTAAATTATTTTTAAAATTTCCACTTTCTTGGAAGGAAAGCGAAATCAAACGCTCTAATTAGTAATAATATCCTTAAAATTGCGTTAATCAACGTAGGATCAACGTAGGATCTTGCAGTTTCAAATACTTTATTAAAGATTTCCATTTCAACTATTTTAATTAGTCTGTATATACTTTCTAATGAGTAGCTACTAGTACATGTTCTTTCATCCAAATAAGTAACTATCTTTACAAATAACAAATGCAAACTTGCTCAATTTTTTCAGAACTCGAAATATTATCTTTAACTTGATAAGATACAAAACTAATATCTTTATATATTGCAGCACTATCAGCAGCCCTACAATTCTTTTACGTTCTTTTCTATAGAAAAAGTAATCTTTTAAATTTGTATTTGTTGCTGTAATCGATCCAGAATTTTTAAGTCGCGGAAAAACTGCGGAACTTTCTTCCATATTCTTAACTCTTTTCTCTAAATTGGAACATTTATTGTTTTTTTTTCGGTTAATTAAAGTTTTAATTTAAAGTTTCTTTTCATCATTTCATCAATCCACTTTTTACTTTAAAGACATTTAATTCCCTCTGAACAGATTGAGAGTTGACCATTATTAGAAATTGATAATATTAATTACAATACAAAATGTAAATATTTTTATAGCGTATTTACAAGTTTTATAATAAGTTGCATACATAAAGTTGCATATAATAAGTTGCATAAAAAGGTTTCAATACTTTAAATAAAGAAACAGAAATGACGTTTACTATGTTATGATAATTGCAAAAATAAAATTACTGGTTGCTTAGTTAAAACATCTATGTTCAGTTAAACGCCTACTTGGACGTCTTCTATATTTAAAAATGTCGTATGTTGTACAACACGTACACAATCACTAATTATTGTACTTTTTTCCCACAATAACAAAATTATTTATAAATCTAAATATTGCATTCTTTGTTCTATGATCCAAGCACCGAAAAAAGCAGGAGTGCGAATCGAAATTTGACGTTACTTTTAATTTTGGATCGAATTGTTTTCAACGGGTTTAACATTGGGCTGCAGGGTCCCAAACATATCAACCGAGATAGTGAAAGTTAAATCCTCTAAACAATTCCTGGATGTAAACCACTGGTGAAACATAGCTAGCATTTACTTAACAAGAATCTGCATAAAATGATTATCTGAGCGTTTATATAATAAAAAAATATATAGTTGATACAGCTGCAATCAAAATTATGTTTGAACCTCTTAAAGCAAGTGTTTTTATTATTTTTATATATAAAAAAGATTATTTTTCTATATAAAAAAGATGTTTCATTCAAACAGACTATCTGACGGCCATTTATTATATGTTTGTAGATGTTTTTAACATATTCAGCTCTTTTTTTCATTTTTTTTTTCATTACATTTTCTGTTAATACTATTACTATTTGTTGTAGAAGGCTCCTTATGCGCAATTTTTAATTTAAAAAAATCTGCCTTCGAGATAGTTGATGATATTTATTGTACTAAGGTTTATATTAACGCTTATATTAACGCTTATATCTCTTGATATCTTTGTTTTGATGACTACCAATGTCAGTTGACAGTCACTTTCAAACCATAGTAACGCTTATATTTAATTCTCCTAATATCTTAGATTCGATAACTACCGATGTCAATTATCAGCTACATTTAATTTCAGTAGACAGTCGCGTCAAAAGGTGTACACTTTTTAAAGATATAATTGATAGCATGAAAGTTGTAATTAAGAAGTTGTAATATGTAATTGAGAAACACAACATGTAATTTAGAAATCATAACATATAATTGAGAAACACAACATGTAATTAAGTTATATGTAATTAAGAACTCATAAATTGTAATTGCAAATGCACTATGTAAGCTTATAACTTTTATAAAAGGTTTTTTTAGACATATTTTAAACATTATCACATAATTATTAATGGTGCATATGCATGTACAATTAATAATAATCGTGAAATGACGATTGGGTGACTCTGGCGCAGATTTTAGGTATCAAATATAAAACAATATATAATTAGAAACAGAAATTCAAATTTCATTAGAAAAATTAGTTTTAAGCAAAAAATTTATTTCAAAACAACTTAATATAAGCGTCAGCACAACAACAACCGCCAAGGCAACCTAAACCTCAAAGGCACATATTTTTTAATAAAAAAAAAATGCACAAGGAGTCTTTTATAATGAAAATTGATGAGAACAAACAAAAAAGAGCAGAATATTGAGGAAGATCAACATATCACAAATGCATGTTAGACAAATGTTGTCAAGATAGAAACTAGCAAAGGATCATTTAAAGCAGATTCTTGTAACGAGTGGATATTGACTTAGTTTTACCATTGGGTGTCATCCGGGAATCTTTTGGAGGATTTGGTTTTTGGTTTTAATTTACGTAACTTTTCATATAAACGTGTTTGAACAAGACCAATATGTTAAAGTTTATAAATTAAAATCTAATCACCGTATGATTTTGGTTCAACAACTTTTAGGTATGAACTAGTTACCCTATCTTCAATGTAATCATTTTATTTTAAGTTGTTTCTTAGAAATGATCTATCAAATATTGCAACTTCCCCAATCTAACTTCATGGAACTAGCCGGTTTGATATAATTTATGTGGCATACGTGAGAGCATTTCCACATCTTATATTCATTAGTAACTTTCTTTTTAGACTAAATTTGACAAGCTTTGTATTTGTTTGACCTTATTTAATAACCGATCACTTATCGTTGGTTCGTGAGATGGAAGTAACAATACCGTCTAAAGAGCCATGACTTCTTTTTTCTAGGTTATCTAATGGAAGTGTAAAAAGTATATGATTACACAGTAATGTGCACAGATGTAGCTACATCTTTTCAATTATTTAAGTATAACAACTTCTGTGTACAACTAATACATCTGGAAAAAAAAATTAAATATAAATGCATTATTTTAACCAGATTTAGCTACATATAAGACTTTTTTCAGATGTTATTGATTCAGAGGAAATTCTTCCAGATGTTATTGGACTTGGAGAAAAATTACCAGGTTTAGTTACATCTTCCTAAAGATGTTGTTAGGGGTCATTGAATTTCCAGATGATATTGGACAGTGTGGTTAGAGTAAAAAAAAATTACAGATGATCTTGAACTACTCTACAGATGTAGTAATCTTTTACCGAAATGGTTAGTAAAAAGGAGTTTTAACTTGTTATGGGGAAGAAAAAAAAAAAGTTTAAATTCATCTTATGAAACCATTCTATTAGTTTTGTTTTCTGTTATATTGTTAAACTATATATCATTTTTTTGAATAAAAAAAGTGAAATTAACTTAATTATTAATAAATGTAAGTACACAAAACTTCGACTTTTGTAAAACTTTACACCTTTTGACTAGGCTTCAATATAGCACGAATAAGGCTTCAATGTTACACGTTTAAGTACCTTATTTTTATAGGATCGTAATTCTGGGTTTTGATATAACACCGTATTAGTTCAGGCACAGTTTAGCTATTAAAACTCTCCAGGATTATTTAATTTTTATATGTTTTGTATTTTTTTATTGTTCTACCTTAATGACTAAACTTTTTTTTACCTACAAATAGTGTCCTATATGACTACATTAGTAAAAAAATATATTTCTATAAGATTTTAGAACAGGACTTTTTAGGATTCCTATAGGTCCAAACCTAGAGGTTATTTTTGATATCCTATGTCTTATAGGATAGGACTCATACAGGATTTTGAAAAATTGCTAAATCTAAGTTTAAAACACGTTTAAAAAACATTTAAAACGCAATTTTTAAAAACAAATGCCTTTAAAAGCATCATCACATATAGAGTACTGCTTTAAGTCAGATACAAACCACCTTCCTTTACATTGAAATTGATTTTTGTATTTTATAAATCGATCTTTTATTACTGCAGAATTTTTTTTATTTACCTGTTTCTTTTGGCTCTTTCCTTTTTTTCAACGCTTTTTTCCCCTCCATGTTGTTGAGTTTTTTAAATAGTTTTTTTAAGATGTCTTTGGCAGTTATCTTGGTAGCAAATTCGAAACATTTTCAATTTGCAATGAAGAATTAGAAATAAATTTTGTAATAATCACGAAAACCTGTTCTAATACCTTGAGAGAATGAAAAATAATTCAACAACACGAACCAATCGAGACTTTTTTTAAAAAAAGTCGTTTTTGGACCTGAAAAGACTGACTAGTTGCTATACATCTCGCTGCTTGTTTAAATTTATCATTTTTTGATTAAAGATTCTTTTGTGTTCTTTTTTGTATGATGAACATATTGCTCCTAATATTTCAATGATCCCAAAAAAATCAATTGTCATTATATTAGAGAACAATTATGATTTACATTGGCGACAATGATGATGTAGCTATGATTTATTCGATCCAATATTTTTGATTTATTCGATCCAATATATTTATTCGATCCAATATTTACACCTGCTGTGTCTGGCGGACCAATAAAAAGACGAACGACAATAATGAAAGACACTCAAATACTCACATACACTCTGCCTACACGAATTTAACATGAAAAAATTTCAACATAATTAAGAAAGTTATTATAAGTTATAATCAGCTATTGTAACAAAAACAAAAACAAAAAAAACAATATAGGTATTCAAAAAACCATCTACATTTTGAAGTACAAATATCAGTAATAAAGTCAAATCACTAAATATAAAAAATTATATTCGTTAAATTTATGCAATATGTTATTTAAACTTACAAAAAATATATACGTATATATTAAAAAACTTTTACAACGCAAAATAATTATTTTTACAAAAAAAATCTCTTTAAGCAAATGTTTAAAAATCAAAACGAAAATGTCCAATTTATACTTCACAATTTATATGGTATGGATAAAATACAAATTTATATATAATAAAAATTCGTTTGTGATTTGTTTGTGTTGTTGTGACAAAAACTTTATCTTTGATGACAAATAGTTATCGTAAAAAATTTCAAAATAAAATAAAAAATTAAAATCTTTTAACTTAAAGTAGCACAATTTTTTTTTTTAAATAATCAGCTTACATTAAAAATGGAAGGATTTCTTCATTAAAAAAATCTTGGGTAAATTGTAAATGATTTCCATCCGAGATTAAAAAATGTAGTTTTCCAGCTTTGTCCATTTCTTGTAAACCAAGTCGATCCTAAATTTTTCAATATGCAATTATTTATTATTTTTATTGACATATTATTATAATTATATTATTAATATTTTAATATCAACAAATATTTTAAATAAATAACTACCACTAACGATTATAAAAAATAATTTCATTTAAAAAAGTTTAATAAATTCATTAACCTCAATATATAACTTGCTCTCCTGTAAAGTAAAAACCTCTTCAGCTTGCCCTTCTTTATAAAATCCAAACCACTAAAACATTTAATAAATGAACAATTATAACTTTCGTTCATTTTATACCAACAATATATATATATATATATATATATATATATATATATATATATATATATATATATATATATATATATATATATATATATATATATATATATATATATATATATATATATATATATATATATATATATATATATATATATATATCAGGGGCTATTCTAGACCGTTTTCGACAGCGTCGACCGTATTTGGGCGCCGCCTAAATTAAAATTTGAGGACCTTTTTTTACGTTTATTACGAGAAATATTGTTATCTTCGCGAAAAAACCGCCGATTTTCCGCTAAGTTTGCCGGAAAGAGGGGGTAACCCTCTCAAATTTTTTTCCTAGAACAGGCCCTGTATTTATATATATATATATATATATATATATATATATATATATATATATATATATATATATATATATATATATATATATATATATATATATATATACATATATATATATATATATATATATATATATATATATATATATATATATATATACATATATATATATATATATATATATATATATATATATATATATATATATATATATATATATATATATATATATATATTAGAGTTCCACTAAAAACAACTTTTTTAGAAATTGTCTGCTGCCACCCCCTAAATGTGTTCTGTGTAATAAATTAACACTGAATTAAAAAAATTTTTGAATAAAAAAATATTTTAGGGGTCGCTCAACACCTTTAAACATCAAACGGGTCCCTAATATTTTGAAAAAAAAAATTCTTTAAAAGTATATTATGTTGGGTCTCAAAATAAGTGAAATTTTATGAAAATTTAAAAAATAATAAAAACAATTTATGGAAACACAAATTAAAAAAGTTTATTTAAAAAAAAACTTTAAAAATTTGTACTTTTAATTTTTTATCAAAAAATTATAGTTTTTAGGCAATAAAATTTATTATTTTTGAAATTTTTGTAGAATTTCACTTTTTTGAGACCCAACATAATATACTTTTGAAGAACTTTTTTTACAAAATATTAGGGACTCATTTGATGTTTGAGCAACCCCTATAATTTTTTTTTATTTAAAATTTTTTTTAATTTAGTGTTAATTTATTACATAGAACACATTTAGGGGGTGGCAGCAGACAATTTCAAAAAAAGTATAAATTTGCGTTTTAAATTTTAGTAAATATATATATATATATATATATATATATATATATATATATATATATATATATATATATATATATATATATATATATATATATATATATATATATGTATATATATATATATATATATATATTTCTGATTCATATCATTTTTGTAATCGTAAATTCATAGAAAATTTCAAATGAGATCAAGATTTATTCCGATGCATTTTATTTAGGCATAAATCACCGTTTTAAAATATTTACTTCGTTTCCCTAGCTTTAATTAACTAAATTAAAATATATTTGTGTAAGCTAATAGAAGAAGCAACATGGTAATCTTGTTCAAATCTGTTTAGTACAAAATATATTATCTGTGCATATTTATTTTCTGAACACAAGAAAAGTAAAAAATTCAAATCTCTACCTTGGTTATATGACACGATGGTCTAAAATACCATAGTTATTTATAAATATTTTTATTAAAATGCAAACAAATACCTCAGTATCTTTGGGATCAACCATTGTATCTTGTGAAAATTTAACCATTACAAAATTTTCTAATTTCATTAAATTTTCTTTGTAAGAAGCGTTGTTATTCTAAATATATATATATATATATATATATATATATATATATATATATATATATATATATATATATATATATATATATATATATATATATATATATATATATATATATATATATATATATATAGATATATATATATATATATATCATACATATACATACATAACAATACATACATATATAAATAATATATATATATATATATATATATATATATATATATATATATATATATATATATATATATATATATATATATATCATACATATACATACATGCATACATACGTACGTATATAAGTATAAATATATATATATATATATATATATATATATATATGTATGTATGTATGTACATGTATGATATGTATATATATACATGTATGATATGTATATATATATATATATATACACATATACATACACATACATAACAATACATACATATATAAATTATATATATATATCATACACATACATACATGCATACATACGTACGTATATAAATATAAATAAATATGTATGATATGTATATGTATGATATGTATATATATATATGTATGATATGTATATCTATATATATATCTATATATATATATATATATATATATATATATATATATATATATATATATATATATATATATATATATATATATATATATATATATATATATATATATATATATGTATGTATATATATGTATATATATATATATATGTATATATGTATGTATGTATGTATGTATGTATATGTATGATATGTATATGTATGATATGTATATATATATATATTATATATATATACATATACATACATAACAATACATAAATATGTAAATAATATATATATCCCACATTTACATACATACGTATATACATATTATACATATATATACGTATGTATGTATGCATGTATGTATATGTATGATATGTATATATATACATATATATATGCATTTATATATATATACAAATATATAGACATACATATATATATATACACATATACATATATATGTATGTATATACGTATGTATCAGGGCGCGAAAAATCATTTTTTTTAAATAAATGTTGACGTTCGTTTCTTTATTTATTGACGAACGTCTAATTTAAGAGGTATGTCAAATATCCAAATATCCCCCCCCCCTCCACACATACACACTTTTTTTTAATTTTTTTTATATTTTTTTTTATTTAAGAGAAATTCAAGATATAGAGGACTTTTTTCATTAATAGATGGTTGCGCACCTCCACTTCGAACCCATGTGTTGGCCAGAATAAGCCAGTTTCATTTTAACTTCTTTATTTTTTTTTTTTTTATTTAAATAATTTTTTTATTTAATTACAAGAGAGTTTTATTTTCAAATTAATTTTATTCTAGTTAATAAGATATATAATAATTAGATATATCAAAGATACTTATCGAATTTTATCAATTTTTATTAATTTAAAACAATTTTTCACGCATTTGCAAAGTGTGCGCAAATTAATGATAACTAATATGCAATAAACTTTTCACTGTAAACTGTTATCTATTAATACAAAATAGTGAATTTTTCTCAATTTAGTTTGTTAAATTATAAAAAAAAGATATAAACTTGATAAAATTTAAATAAAAGGGAACTATATAAAAATAAAATAAAAGTTATTTTGTCATTTTTATTTTTTAAATATTTAAAAATAATAATATAGTATTAAGCATTTAATAAGTTATTAAATTTATAATTTAATAAGTTACTATCAAATACCTGATATGCTATTATTATATTTATAATATTAAGTATTTAATAAAAATAAAAACTATAATCAACATAATAGTTCTATAAAATCTATTAAATTTTATATATTTCTGCAAATTTTTTTAAAAACTTTAAAAACAGCAAATAAACATTAATTTAATTATAATAAGAAAATTAAAAAAAATTTTTTTTTTTTGGAAAAAGAATGTTTTTGAATGCCTTTGGAAAAAGAATGTTTTAGCATGGTTCCGTTTAAAGTAATTGCAAATGCATTTATTTTAAGTTAAATTTGCCATTCTTTTGTAAATGCATGTAAAAACCATGCTAAATATAATTTTTTCTACAGTTGCATACTTAAAAGAAACGCTATTGAAGAAAGTATTAGCGCTGTTTCTTTTAATGTCATTGAAACTGCGTTTTAAATTTTAGTAACTTATTTTTTTTATATTAATTATGTTTTTTTTAAATAATAAATAAAAAACTATCAATCGCATAATTATTTGGAAATAAAAAATTGCTGAAGATATGCGATCGTTTTTAAAAAATTTAAGCAAACGCCAACGTTTGCTTAAATAAAAGTAAGGAAACGTGACGTTCGTTTTTCTGTCTTTTTTTTAACAAACGTTCGCACGTTCGTCGATTTGTCGCGCCCTGTGTATGTATGTATGTATGTATGTATGTATGTATGCGCGTTTGTATATATATGATTTATATGTATATATACATTTATATATATATATATATATATATATATATATATATATATATATATATATATATATATATATATATATATATATATATATATATATATATATACATACATAGATATGTATGTATGTATGTATGTTATATATGTATGTATGTATGTATATTAGTAGTATGCATGTATGTATGTATGTATATTAGTAAGCAACCATATATATATATACATATACATATATATATATATATATATATATATATATATATATATATATATATATATATATATATATATATATATATATATATATTTCTAGATATATTTTACAGTGACATGCGCGGAAAATCTGATATAAAGCAACACTGCAGTTTTTACTACTAAAATGAAATCGTTTCAGTCATCTTATCGGCTTCAGTCTCATCAATCGGCTTCAGTCATCTTATAGCATATTCTATTGAAATTAAAAATATTTTAATTTCAATAGAATATGCTATAAGATGAGTAAACGGCTTCACTTATCCTTTGAGCATATTCTATTGAAATTAAAAATATTTGCACTTTCCCACAGTGATATACAAAAAAAAGTGTTACCATTTTTTCTTTTGTTGATTTTACTCAGTTGCAACACCAGAATGTTAAACATCATTGCGAAAAGTTAGCAACTATGAAGGAAAACCTTAACAGATGTTAGCGAAATTAATGATTTCAAGTTAATAAGATGTGATCCTTACATAATATATTAAAAAACTAAGTTTTGTGTTTCACTTTAAGAAAAAAGAGTTTCCGTGAAAGAAAAATCTATATTTTTTAGTTGCGCATTTTATAAACACACTGCGTGCTAAAAGTTTGTAAAATAGTTAAATATAGTCAACTAACTCATAAATTATTAACTTATAATTATCATAAAAATAATAATATATACAAAAAACACTTAATGTTTCTGACTCAAATTTAATGGCTTTTTGCTAGCACATTATAAATAAAACTTTACCTAGCTTTAGGTATCTATTTAAATAATATAATTTTTTTTTTTTTTGCGTCAAACTAATTTTTTTTTGGAGATATGGAAAATGCAGTTTTGAGAGTGTTTACATTTTATAGTTTTAAAAAAACTATGAAATGTACTAACTGTCAAATTTGCCATTTTATACAATAAACACTCTCAAAACTGCATTTTCAATATCTCCAAAAAAAAATTTTAGTTTGACGCAAAAAAAAATAATTTTATATTATTTGAATAGATACCTAAAGCTAGGTAAAGTTTTATTTATGTGCTAGCAAAAAGCCATTAAAATTGAGTCAGAAACATTAAGGTGACCACAATGTTTATAGAACAAAAAACCAATAATTACCAATAAAAAAGATTTAATAATTACCAATTCTTGGTTAATATCAGCCAGAAATAGACTTTTCTCTCTATATTCTTCTTCTTTTATTGGATCATGCCAATATTGAGCTTGAACAAGATGCTCTTGAACCCAGCTTACATATGCTCCAAAGTTTAAAAGTTTACGCATATAATCACACAACTTTAATGATTCACCAGGACAACGTGGAAAACCGTATACACCTTTTTAAATATAAATTATTTACAATTTAATTTAATTATGTTAGCTATTTATTTTAATTATATAAATATATTTGCTGTTTTATGTTTGCTAAGCACAAAATAAAATAAAATAAATCGTCTAAAAACAAATCGTCTCTCAAAAAACAATTTAATAAAAATATACTGGAATAAAATTGAGGAGCATTTACATAAATAGTTGTGCATTTTAAATTTATATGGAATTAAATTAACATGGAGATTTGTAGAAACTGGTAGTAAATATGTACAGAAAAAAATATTTACAACATTTTAACTTCAAGTCAACTAGCATTTCTTATATATACATATCTTTCTTTGATCTTCTATTATTCTTATTATAATTATTTATTTTTGTTTGTTTATTATTTATCTTATTATTACTACACATTTTTATACTTGAAAAAATTTTAGATTATACTTAAAGTAGTGTTTAATTTCAGTAATGGATATTTTTTACACTTTTTTGCTTATCATCTAAACTCTGAAGTAAAAAAAAAATTTACCAAAATATACATAAACTGAAGTTTAGTCTTAAATAAACTTTTCTTTAAAATTAAACATATTTTTGTTCAAAACTATAACCAATATATAATAAATTAACTTCTTTGTAAATTCAACATGTAATATTGAATTATAAACCAGTTTTATAGCGCATGTTAACTTACAGTGCCCAAGGGTAAATAAGTTAGCCCACAAGACCACAAAGAAAACAAGTCAACTAAGAAGAACAACAAAGTGCTAATATAAAAGGCAATTACATAAATCAAAAGTCCATAAAGAAAAAAAAAAAAAGAAAAAAAAAAAAGTACTGATATAAACAGAAAAAACTAGATTAATAAAATCGAAGCTTTTTTAAAAATTTTTGAACATATAAGAACACTATAAAAGAAGCCTTTTTAAAAAATTTTTGAACATATAAGAACACTGTAAAAGGATCCAACTTAAGTTAAGTTGGATCCTTTGACAGTGTTCTTATATGTTCACACTGATTTGGAGAACTATGGTCAGTTTTTTAGAAAACGCTTCTTAGAAACTATGCAGCCATTCCATTATTTAGCCAACATGCTAGATCCAAGGAAAAAAGGTAGGCTAATGAAAAATAACAAAGATAGCTTTACAAAACATATAAGGTATTTGTTCTGAAATATTTGTAGTAAATATATTTTTTGGACAATTTAAGGCTAGTCTTGTTATTAACTTATTTTTTATGTGACTTTACTTTTTAACATCACATGATGTAGCCGGTGTGTACTGTGTAGTTTGTGTAGGTGAGGTCTGCCTGATAATGAATAATAATTATAATATGAACCTGAAACTCATAGAACTACTATTTTTGCTCTTTAGGAAATAGAAGACTCACAATGGAACAGCAGAATGAGGGAGAAGAGTGGTTAAATATTCAACACCCTGATTTTGTATCATTTGTTCTGGCTTTCACAGCAGAAGATACAGAAATATATCCCAGCTCCATGTTCAGAGAAAGTGTTGTGAAAACGTTTTCTGCTGCAAAATGGTGGAAAATATTGATTTCCAAAATTTCTGCAACTCAAGAACATGATGCCCATCCAGAAAATGCTGCTTTGCCATTGCCATTCTGCCAGTTTGTGTTCAACTTACACAGTGTTCCAGTTTCGTCTGCTTCTCTCGAAAGAATTTTCTCAAACTTTGGCTACATTTGGTCCAAGATAAGAAATCGTTTGGGCACAGAGAGAGTGGCAAAGCTAGCCAAAGTGTATCGCCACTTGCGAGAAGCAAATGATGATTGACTGTTATAAGTGTTGTTTATCAGTTGTTCAGTAGTTTAGTAGTGCATTAAATTTAATCATATCAATTGCGTAATTATTTTCCAATTTATATGGTATTTTAAAACAAATTCGACAAAATTTGAAAAAGACCACTTGTGAAAAAATCCATTTTTTTTTTGGGTGGAACCGTCCGGAAAAAACCGCTGGTTTTTTTTGGCCCGGGCCCACTTCCCGGAACCCTGAACTTAACTAAATGATGAGTCACAGAAGAATAACTTTCAGTAGATATAACAAGACATTATAGTTAAAGTTATGAGCTATCATTTGATCATGCCAGATTAGCACAGATCCTGATAACCTAGCTGACTCAAGAATGTCACTTATATGGGGTGATAGCATACACATCAAGATACCCTGTGATGCAAATTTTGAAATCTTTTAATTTTGTTCCCAGAAAATAATTTAATTTGAATGTTCATGTTGAAATTTTGACTTGATAGTGCAACAAAGAAAACACCTGCAGAATGAGAATCACTTTATATAACTTGATGAAAATTAGTGAAAATGTAGCATATGGCCACACCAAACTCTGGCTGAAATTTCAGTCAGATTGGTTTACTGGTTAAAGATTTATGGCAGTTTTAGTTTTCATTTTGCTAGCTCATTGCTACTTAGACCTCAAAACGTTACTGATTACTGTATTATTCTATCACTATTTTCAAAATAAAGGTTACATTAGAGTTCTACTATGTAATATCAACAACTTTTATTACAATTGTTTTTTTCATTCAATAGACAAAAATATTGATTGGCTATTTGAAGCGTGGTTTGAATTGGCTTATACATAGCATAAATATCACAACATTTCCTAAAGTATTAATTACTGACTATCAGTTAGTAAAACAAAACAAAAATATTTCTGTTAAAAGAATTTTTATTGGCGCTTGAAACCTTCTTAAATACATTGACTTTTAAAATGAAGTGAAAAAGTAACTATATAAACTCTATTTTTTACATTATATTACTATCAAATAGCATTTGATTAAATTCTAAGATATGGTCTTTGATTTTCTCCACAAGAAATTCATTCAAAATGGTCTAATATTCTCTTTTAGTCAAATACTCTTCAATATTTTTACATGCAAAATTAAAATTCATAATTACTAACAGCAGTTAAGGATTAAAATGGTTAAAATGTTCATTACAAACTGTAAGCTATGATTTTCTGCTGCCTAATATGCAGCATAACAAACTTTCTTTGTACTCTGGATAATTATTGTTTCATTTTTACCTTGACCAATGTTTATGAAGTTTTCAATTGTTTTAGCAAAATCTGGCTGAAGCATAAATCCAAAGCAAGCTTTTACAACTAAATTAAAATTTTTGAATGCTTCAATTATGTGAAGAACATTGGGAACCGAGTTTGTACCAACAAGTTGCTGGAGCACATCCACATTTTTAAGATGCTTACTGCATTTATTACCCATGATACACGCTCACTTGAATGTGAAGCAGCTGACCACTTAACAGATTCTATCCAAGCAGTTTTAACTATCTTGAAAAGATGATTGACAACTCCTATAAAGAGATACAATTGCATTAGTGAGATTATTACCAAAACCAGAACATTGTTAGGCCTGCTGATGATTGGCTTTCGAATAACATTGCCAAACAACTTTGCATGAGCAACAATCCCACCAGATTGCTGAAAAGCCCAGTGTTCGCAAGTTTCCAGATTTAGCACAATGTACAAGGGTGCATACTTGAATGGGTTTGAAGACCACAAATTATATTTGCAACTTTTATATCGCAAGCCAAAATTAGTTTAACTCCATTTGCATTAACCAGGGACCAGATTTTTTCAATGAGCTTCTGGCAAATCTTTTGATACTGAACAACAAGAATTTGTCTCTTAACTTTAGTGTCTTAGATATTCCTTTGAGTGACAGGTTGTCTTTGATGCGTTGATCTGGTATCAACCCTTAATGCAGTATCAATAATGCTTAGACAAAACTTGAGAAAATCTTTACCACCATTAATTCTGAGCTTAACAAAAATATCTACCAAAAATATACTTCCCGAAATCTTGTGTTTTTTTTTAAAGATTTTCTTTGAATATATATGTAAAAATTATTTATGTATAAATATTTAGCTGGAGTAATTGTAAGTGGGGGCTAACAAGATGCTTTAGCATGTTAAATAGTTCCTTCAGGGGATAATTCTTTATTGGAAATAATTAGAGACACAATTTGTTATCTGCTCTGGCATCTGGCTAAAGATTAAAGGTTTTCCTTTATTTGAGAGCACTGGCGGGGCAAACCTTTTCCTATAAGGCCAAGGCACGTGCTGCAATGTACATTTGGTTCTTTTTCAATGGTGCTTAGCACTTCGAGAGGATGTTTTCCTTGCCGTTTTGAACAACCAATTTGGCAGATTAGGCAATAAAGCATCGTGACTCTTAATTCAGGTCTCCTTTGTATTGAATTGAAACTAAACAAATAAGAGGGTATAATTTCTTTTCCATCTTGTTTCCTGGGCATAATTGTTCTTCACTATTTGCAGAGTCCTTGTGGTACTTGAAAATCACTGATATTGATTTTTGTCTTGTACAGTTAACATATTCAATCTGCTGTGGAAAGCAGTAAGCTGTCATAAATATTTTTTCAAACAGAATAAGAACACAAATTTTTACTTGATTCTGCATTGTGGCAATTCACTAAATCCAACTTAACTAAATTAAACTATTCCGTTAACAAAATTTAACCTGCATTTATATTGGATAACAACCTATTGACATAACTACAAACAATTAAAATCAAGGAAATTATTACTTAAATTACAAGGAAACAATTCTTACATAATTCTTTCCTTTAAAGGAAATAATTTTATTTATTTGATTCCTAAAACATTCCTAAAAAAGATTTTTGCTGCTCTTCAAAAGATTGTTCTCCTTTTCATAAAATTTTCCTCTGACTGACCCTCTAAACTTTTTATTTTTCAATTATTTTAGTTATCTTATCTAAATTTTTATATATTTTTTTTATGTAGGTATGTTTATAATAGCTTTTCAACCATTTTTTAAAATTTTTTTGCATTTCAAAAGTAGCTTATACCTTAGAAAATGCTTATACATTCTTAGAAAATGGTAATTGTAGCAATAAAACAATTATAACAAAAATTGTTGGTATTACATAGCAGAATATTCACCATTATTTTGTAAATAAAGACCAAAATTTTGAAAATAGTGACTGAATATCACAATAACTTTTGAGGTATAAACAGCAAAAAACTAATATAATATAAATTAAAACTACTATAAATCCTTAACCAAGAACCAACCCGACTGAAATTTTATCCATATGCAACATTTGCACTAATTTTTTATTAAATTATATAAAGTGGTTCTAATTTTACATATTTTTTTATTGTCGTACTATAAAGTAAAAATTTCATTAAATTTTAACATTCAAATTAAATTATTTTACGCAGACAAAATTAAAAGATTTCAAAATTTGCATCACAGGGTACCTTAATGTGTACGGTATCACCCCATATAAGTGGCGTTCTTGGATCAGCTAGGTTGACATTATCAGGATCCATGCTAACCAGATTCAGAGAGATTGCTCTTCAGAATTTTTGAAATAGAGATAACAGATGCCATAGAAGAGCAGGAAATAACTTTAGATACAGAAGCTTGAGTGACACGAATGTCAAACAAAAAACATGGAAAGTGAGACTTGACAAAAAACAGAAAAAAGTGAGGCTTGACTTGGAATTGTCAAAAGGGAATAAAAGATTCCATGGCAGTCTGAATCCAAGAAGTTATGTAAGAAGCACATTTTTCAGCAGGAAGACAAAAGATTTCTACCCAAGGGCAATCACAAAGAAAATTACAGAAAAAATCACAGTCAGCTTTAAGGTAGTTGTAAAGGGTATGATGATAGGGGGATTCTGATGATGAAGAAGCATAAGATAATAGTTTATAGAGATCAAACCGTGATCAGAAGCACCTAAGGGTGAATGTGGAGAAACTGAGCACTGAATAGGATCAGAAACAAGACATAAGTCAAGTAGAGAAGGTAAATGATTGAGATTGTCTGGAAAGCGAGTCGGAAAGTTGGAGTGTTAGAGATTGAGAAAGACAAAAGTTGTGGGCTTTAACATCTGCAAAGTTACTGACACTAGAACATTGCTATTCAGTTTGATGAACATGTAAGTCACTGACAACAATGATATTGGCTGAAGGATAAAGAGAAAGGGCTTTTTCAATTTGATCAAAAACAACATTGAAAAGAGTGCAGTCTTAATATGAAGAAGAACGATATAGAAAAAGAGAAAGGTGATCGAGTGAAGTGTCGCTAAATGAAAGCAACTAAAAGTATAGTCTGTGGATTCAAACTTAGTTTCCCAACAAATGGGTGAATTCTTATGAATGTAAATGCCCAGGCAAAGCATGTGGCATTACAAAAGTATGAACAGGGACACTTTTTATGCGCAACATGGTACTGTAAGTACTCTGATATTTTACAGCTGTTGATGGATCAGGGCATTTATTAAAAACCGTGGTCAAATTGTCAAAACAAAATATTATTTGCGTGGTCATATAAAGCCTTGAAATTGCAGGCCTTCCTGGCCAAGCTTGGAAAATAGATCACTAGGAAAATGGATCTTCTTAAAAACGAAAAAAAAAAAGTGTAGCTCAACTCGCTACGATGATAAACAATGAAAAAATTTATGTCTTCAAAAGAATGTATGGAGATGGAATTGAATTTGATGAAGAGAATTTGATGGGTAATCATCTAAACAAAAAACCATAATTAAATGAAGTCATGAAAAAAAAGTAAAAGTGAATTGAAAAAGTAACTGGAATGAGGTAGAAAACACCAGAATATGACTGAAAGTAGAGTAAATTATAAAAATAGAGTCAACATTTCAAATTTTGGTATACAAAAGCTCATTTGTCCGATGCCACCCAGCAGAAAAATTCCACCAGGACTGCATTTTGGAAAATATTAAACACCCTGTGAGTGTATTGGAATGGTCTGTGATCTCAGCCATGGGTATAAGTTCCCCTACATTGTGAAAGAGACATAAAGCAGAACCAGCACAAGCAAGTACCAGAAAACAGGCTCCTGCCCCAGGTCCAAGAATGGTTCCCTGAAAATGAAGAGTATATGTTCATGCATGAACCAACATCGTGCCAAAAAGCTGAGAGTGTTACAGCATTCTTAGCTGAAAAAAATTTATGAGTTTTGCTTTAGCCAAGGAATTCACCTGACATAAACCCCATAGAAAATCTATAGGAGTTTGGAAAACAGGAAATTGCCAAAGAGATTATCACTACCAAGCAGCAATTGATAGAAAACCTTATTAGAGAATAACATTACAACGCCAGTCTCCAGCTAAATGCAAAAGCCTGCATAGAAAGCATGCTCCAATGCCTAAAGCCGTTATTGTAACAAAAGGTGGCATTATAAAAATTAGCTTATTGGTTATTTTAAAAATTAAGTTAAAAAAAAAAAAACAGCTATGAAGAAGTACAGGCCTTGTTAAGAAGCGTTTCCCTATTTAAATTTTACGTACGTATTCAGGATTTCACGTACGCGTTTTGCAATTTACATTACGCAAAAATTTTTTTCAATAAGTTTATTTTAAACAGTCTTTTAAAACAGATTATGCT